TGATTATTATCTAACATTTTAATTTGATGTTAAAAATGAAGATATCACATCTTTAAATATGCTTAAAAAGTATATTTAACATTTCTTATTTTTTAATCTGTAAAAATATATAGTGCTATTTCTTAAGTTATATTATGTGAGAATATGTTTTTAGGTTAACTCTATACTTCTTAACAATAACTGTATAGAATGTTGTGTGTTTAATAAAATGCAATAGACTCAACTGATTTTTTTCTCCTGATATTTTTGGTGGAGTAGTAATGGAGCAAAATGTTGAACAACAGGAACATGTAAATAATACATCTGCTGAGCTGCGGATTAAAAGGACTCAGGTTTGTTTCTCTCATTTCTGTTCTCCCTCATTACTATGTATATAATTTCTCTCCTTCAGTGGAACCTTGAATCACAAACTCCTCACTTCACAAACATTTTGGTTCACAAATAAATTACCTGAACAAAAAACAAACAAACAAAAAAAAAAAAAAAAAAAATGCCTCTGATGACGAACACTTAAATTGAGTCTTGAGTTACAAACACTTAAATTGATAGTATGTGATTTTCAAAGGTGTTATGAGGTAAATTCAGAATTAAATGCATAAATTTATAATAACTCAGGGATTTCTGTAAATATAATTTTAATGTTTTCCATTACTTAACTCTCAAATCTGGAAGCAAGTGACTTACAGGAGTATGAATTCAGTGTGGAGAAAATTGTGGCCAGTCAGGGCTCCAGGCAGAGGCTTTTCAGCACTTTGGCACCTGGAAGTTTTTTGTTGTTTATGATATTGTTTCTTTAGGTAAAATGATAAGTAGGATGTTATCAGCAAAGATGTGGAGAAGTTATTAGAGCACCTTGAAAATAAGCTGAACAATAACTATAACTTTAGAAATAGCAATAAAATGTAACTGTGGATGAAATCTTTTAAAAAAGAAAAAAAAAAAAATATCCTTATTACCTGATGTGTGAAATTTGTGCAAAATGGAGTAAGATGGAAAGTTTTCTCTTAACGATATCCCCCCTGTTAAAGAAGTAGCAAGTTAGAACATTAGCATTTTCAATGGCAATGCAAAGTCTCACCGTAGAAAAATTCTAAAATGAAAGCAGGAACAAATTTCACTGGACAAATTTGAGTCCCAGGAATTCTCAAGTCTCAAGCAGAGTTGGTTGATGCTTAAAGGCAAAGAAAAGATAAAAGTTCCCGCTTAAATATATTTTTATTGGAGTGAATTTCAAATGCAAACAATAACATCTTAATCATTTTCTATTTATGCCATTCATTCTTCTTTGTGCATGGAGAGTGAATATGAATTAAGTTTTCAATCTAGTTTACCTGCTTAATATTGTCTTGTCCTTCTTGTTTTATGTTTACTGATTTCCATTGATTTTGGGTTATTAATTTGTGTGCAAAATATTGTAGAATTTAAATAAGTAATCATCTGTGGTCCAAGAACATATTACTCTATTTTATGTAATTCCTGCAAGAAAAAATGTTATGGAATTGTTTATGAGCATTTTAGTTGATCAACAGACTTCAGGAATAAATTAAATTCATGGAGATTTAACTGTATTTCTAATAATATATTATAAATTATAGTTTGTTGCTTTAAAATAGGTATTTAAGGATATTTTCATCCTTCCTGATTTGTAGTTGTAACATCACCATCATTGCATTTCATTTTCTCCATTTCATGTAAGATTATAGTTCAAGGTAACCCTTTATTTGTGAGGCAAAATATGCTGAATGGAAACTGAATGAGGAAAAAACAATTAGGTCACTCAACCATCAGCTGCAACTGTTGTTACCCTAGTTACAAGTTATGCTGGGTGGGAAATTATGATTCTGAAGTGCTTATTCTAAAGTAACAGACTATAGATTTTACACTACTGATATTTATCCTATGTTATATGCCTCTGTGGACTTTTGCATGCTTTTTGCCTACCTTATACATGACTTTTTTGTTTTCATCATTGTCCACAGGAAGATTCTGTTCCTGCTTTGTTTCTAACTATATTGTTGTGTGCAAACATATCAGTGGTGTAAATAAATCTAATTCTAATCTATCCAAATATAATTCTTGATTTTACTCACATTCGTTCTATGCACTACTTAGTAGTATTTTATTAACATCATCTCTGTGCTATAAAAGTACAAAATTGAGATATAAACTTATTTGATTTTAGTTAAATGATTAGTAAATGAATGATAATTACATTTTACAAAGTATTTTAATATCTTTAATAACATTTCTGTAGTTACATAAGAATTAAAAATCTAAATTCTTAATGAATATTTCTAGATTGATCTGAAGGATGGAGCACCATATACTATATAATATAAATAATTATACTATAAACCAGTAACAACTGACTGTTCCTATCAAAGAAGTGAAGCCAACTTTTAAAACAATTTTGATCTGCAAGTTTTAATTAAAGTGGAATTTTAGTGTTTACAGATTAATCTGATCCCAGAGTTATAAACTGGGATCTTCAACTTATTCTTGTATAAGTGCAAGAGAGGAGTGTTTAAAAAACTAATACTGAATTCAGTAATCTGTATAACATGAGTGGATTTGCAGGAGAATTTGTAGTTTTGAAAGTTTAATAAAACCTTCCTCTCCGGCTGTGGCAATTAAAAAGTTTTATATTCCAACATTTATTAATAATATTAACAACAGAAATCTGAGATGAGATTTTTATGTTCCAGCATTTATTAATCACACTAACAAAAACAATAAATAACTTTATTAGCACTCTATGTAGATCTTACTCTTTGAGAGAAAAGGGTATTTTCAATGGCATTGAATTTAAGGCCAAATAATGATCCACTGGTTTAGCTCGTTTAATATTTAGAGTCATTAAAATAAACTTATATTCAAAGAAATAATTAGAACATTTGGAGAAAATAGGGATAGTTTTTTTATTTCGAGAGGCAACTAATATATCACCAAAATACAGAACAGACCTTGGCTTTAACATTTTTGGCATCCTAGGAGATAAGTATGGTTGACCGTCTGTGTTTATTAGCTTTCTGAGCAGGACTGCAGTAGCCTTTTTGCCTTCCAATGCAAACTCTGAAACTCCAAAATTTTTCCACCTGGTTTCTTTCTAAATTAAAAAAAAAAAAAAAAAAAATTGCCACTGCTAAGTTATGCTATCCGGTGCAGCTGCATTAGTTTACAGTGGCTCTAGTGCTGGACCAGCCCCTGAGCAGCATGACCGCCTTTATAGCTTATAATTAAGAAAAAAATTTTTTTGCTTTCTTTAATGATGTAAATATCATCTTGATGAATGGAAAACTGATTAAAATAAGTTATAGTACAAATTTAGGTAATAGATTATGTTTAAATGCAGATCTTCATGAACAGAAGCCAAAAGGTTTCGCCACTCAGAGGTTAAATATGTAAAAAATTTCAAGTGAAATTTACCTTTTTTCTAGGTTACTTTTGCTCGCAGGTAGCGTTATTTTATGCTTGCAATAAAAATTTAGGTGGTTCCTACTGAAAATTAGCATCCCAGACAGCTTGCCTGTATCACTTGTGCTGAGAACCAACCCTGGTACATAACCACAAAAAGTTAATACAATATCCAAGAAGTGTTTGGTATGTAACATACTAAATTTTGCAACCATTAAGTAAAGTAACATATTTTGATTTACCATAGAATAAGTATTTAGATAGCCCAGTGATATTTTAACTTCTGTTTTTGGAATATCTGTTTTCTGAGGGGGCGTCTGGTGATCTAAAGTGACAGTTCTGTTTACAGGTTTTTTAAATGCACTTTGCAATTTTTGAAAGATTTTTCTATCTTCAATTCGATAAAAAATAAAAGTTTTACTATTTTAACTACCAGTTTTAATGGTATTACTGTCTCCAATGCAATTAAAATTGAGAGTTTAAATGATAAAACTTGCAGTTACAGTTATGGTTTGAACTAATTTTCAAATAATTTATAAAAGTAGTCAAATTTAAACATAATAAGTATTACACGCATGTTGGGGATGGAATATCATCTAGAATAATGGCAATATTAAGATTGCAGCAGAGACCGTCCGGGCATGTGTCTCCATTACTTTCGGGAACATTATCGAAGATTGTTAACTTATTTATGGTTAAGTTATAATTTTTAATAGTTTACTAAAAGGCATAAATTTAAATATTTTTAATGAATAATAATTAATAATTTATTTTTATTTATAAAATGATTGCCACTTGTACAGATAAGTTTTATGAAAAAGTAATTTAATTTTGTTTCTTTCAGCATTCAGCATTGTTTAGAAGATTCGTAGATGCTATGACTGAATATAGCAGTATTCAAACAGAATATAGAGAACGCTGTAAAAACAGAATAAAACGTCAGCTTCAAATAAGTTAGTATTGCAAAATATTTTTTTAATTATAAATTAACTAATAAATAAAATATATAATAAGATCACTGTGCTACTTTCTTTCTCAGAGTTTTTATAAATTCCAAAATATTTGTTATGAAGCCAAAAGATAATTTTGTAGCCATGTTTTATAACCTTTGTTAGTATTTATTTAGAGAGAATTAAGCAGATATTTTTAAAACTATTCTTATAATTCCCCTATTCCAAATAGTTTATCTGCATACTATAAAAAATTATTATTATAAGTAAAATTCAAGTTTAATATTATGAAAAATTCACTTGAAGGCTTCAGACTTTTAGCACAGTCACAATATTGGAAGATGGCAAATTTTCAGAAAACAATTTCAGTACTCAAACAATTTTAAGGGAAAAAAAATATGCACCGGCATTGCATGTTGACCTTCATTAAATTGTGTTACACTTAATTCTTATACGGTCAAAATTCATTAATTCGGACACCTATAATCCGGACCTCAAAGCTTCAAACTTTCTGCACATGTGTCGCGTTGACGCATGCGCGTAAGGCCTTTGCGGCTGAGAATTTGCTTGTGCGTGTGCGCAAAATACGTTTACGAGTGCGCGTTTAATTAATAACGGACAGTATATGCTAAGCTAAAATTATTTAATTATCTATTTCAGTTAATGTTGCAGATTTCGTTGTTCCTTAATCTTCGAATTGGATCCGGCTTATTATTTTTTGCAGACTGTTAGAGCAATTTTATAAAAGTAAGCTTGAACTTTCGATTATGTCAAATAGAATTTCTGATAATATTTATTTATATGTAAATGATCTACAAAGTGAAAGTATGTTTTCGAAGTTCATTAAACAAAAAGTGGAATTGCTACAAAAAATGGATAAAGGCATATCCTTTGTTTATGTAAACTTTAACGTTTGTTTATCTAAACTTTGTTTATCTTTAACGCTGGGCAATGAATTGGAAGTTGATCTGTCAACACTATCCTTATCTTCAGGGCAGATGTTTTTATTTTATTTGACTTATAATTCCTTATTAAATGTAGTATTTCATCTCAATGTACTCCATCTTTGATATGATTTAACGCCTATCACAAGCGAATTAAATTCCTCATCATTATAATTCGCTTCTGATAGCAAAGAAAGAGACAGAGGTTATTGAAAACAAAAAAATTTCAATTGACAAATTAGTCGGTATCCGCGACACAGCAATTATCGGACTGAACAGCGGAACTTTGTAACGAACAAGAAAAAAGTTGTCAGTTAAAGAATTAAAGAGAATGTATTATCACATAAAAAACGAAGCAACTAAACAATTTACATTGAAAGAAATGTTAATAAAGTAAACAAATAAAGATTAAGCTTTTTTTTTTTTTTTTTTTTTTTTGTAAATTTTGATACCTTTTAGATCATAATTTTCTCTATTTCATAAATTACGGTTTCATATTTTTAATTTATAATTCTGCATGCCCATCTTACAGATTAAACTGATGATCTATAATCCGGAAAAATCGATAATCCGGAATCGCCGAAGTCCCGACGAGTCCGGATTAACGACTTTTGACTGTAACTGTGTTCTTATTTTCAAAAGTATTGTCAGTTAAAATTTTTTAAAGTGTATCATTTTTTTCATTCTATGTTTATTGTAACAACTAAGACTAGAGATATAATTTTATAATTAGAGAAAAAAAATATTACAGTTGAAATGCCTGGATTATGAAAATATATTTTCTCACTAGAAACATCAGTTTTTATACATAACCCATAAACTAGATTTTTTGTTAGATTCAAAAGAAATATTTTTAGTTTTACTCATTCCTCTCGTACTTTTTTTTTTTTTTTTTTTTATTCCATTAACTCACATGAACAATCATCAGGATTTTTAGTCAAAGTCTTTTTAGTTACCTAGTGTCTTTCCCAGATCTTAAAAAGCTTTCTAAGTCATTGACTTGACTCAATAGGAAAAGCATTGCTTCATATTTTACTTTAGCTGTGCCTAAGGATTTAAAAGCACACAACTGTGATTCCGAGTTTGTCTCAAAGTTCCAAAATTAGAATATTCTTCGCTTTTAGTAGAACTAGACACATAGAATTCTACTAAAAGCTCTTCCTTCCTATGTCAAGATTTTAAAAGTTTTGGAGCTTTCTCATAATTTTCATTTGAAAGTTGGAAAAGTTTCATTTGATTTCTGTGCTGGTGACCTAGGTTTCATACTAAGTTTCAAATATTTAAATTTATTTTCATTGGATAAAAAATTATCTTTTGAATTTTTGTAAACTGGCCCCAGTAACCAATCCACTTTCTTAAATCTCCATCAGATTTTGTTAACTCCATCATAGGTAATTTTATCTGAGTTTTGAACCCAGTCTGAGATTCATTTTCAACATCTGAATGTAATTGTTTCTTTAATCTTAATTCATGCTTACTGCATTTTGCTGTTCTTTTTCCACCTTAGCTTCTGTCATATTTTTATCTTTCAGAAAGTGTAAATGAGTGGAATTTATTTTCAATGCTTTGCATTGAGTTCCGTTGTATCCCCTCTTCTGGAGATAAGTTCTTCTATCCTATTTCCTTCAACTATAGACAATTTCCGAAGAACTTTTTGTTTTGTTGTATCCATTGTGTATCTTTGATTCAAAACAGTCCCATCAAATGGATGCCACAAATGTAAAGTCAGGCTTTGAATTGAGCAAAATTAAAAGATAAATGTTTATTTACATTATTAAAGAGGTTTAACATAAACAAAGGAAGCTCTAAAAATGGTTAATGGCAATCTAAATATACAAAGCTAAAAATAGAATTACAAATTTGTAAACTCAGTTTCTGTTGCCAAATTTTTATGCTTGAATTAGTGAAGGCTCAGAAATAACATTCCTAATAGGGGAATAAAAATATCTGTCAAAAATGTAGGCAAGTAGAGGGGGCTGAAATAAAGAGATTTTATAATGGAATGTGTTTGCAAAAATGGCATACTGAAGTGGCAGAAGACAGTGTTGAGTATTAGGTGAAGACATTCTACTGGCATGAGTTGTCTTTTTCTGTGCAATTTTTGAATGGTATACATTACTACATGAATGCAGAACCTACCTGCATGCATTTTATCTAAATGAAATAACTACTTAAAGAAGGTCCAGAGAATGAGTCTTAGGTGTTTTCTTTGAGCCGCTGCTCCACTTTCATCCATAGGCAAAATAAATGTCAGAAAACTCCATGTTAATTATGATGCATTCTGCTTTGCATGGAGAATGATGATTTATGCCAACAGAAAGCTTTCACTTACTGCTGAATAGCACCCTGTACCTCTTTACATGCCATTTCTGCACATGCAATATTTTTTAATCATCCTATATATATATATATTATAGAATAATCTATATAACTGTTTCTGCTGCAATTCTTTTTTCATGTTATTTACAATGAGGTTTTATTCTGAAAACAATTCATAAGCACTTTAATGTGAAACCTCGATTTGCAAACTTAATTCATTCCTGAAGACCATTTGTCAACTGCAGTGTTTTTTAACCGAAATAACTTTTCTCATAGGAATTAATTTGTTCCTGGACCATATATGATTCTTTATTTAAATTTTGCAACAGTAGTGGTGCACAATTTCATAACCCACAAACCGATTAAATCAGTAAATATGAAAACAAAAACAATTTTAAACAGATAAAATAAATGAAAATTTAATTATATTGTACCTTTACAAAGAAGAGTGGATGGCATAGGTATAAGGATGAGTAGAAAATGATTATTTGGATGCAAAATTCCCTTTTATAAATCAGGTTACTTGTCTTTAGGGGTCATCTTCTTTTACTTTTTCTTTGTTTTTAAGCTCTACTTGACTCTACTTGAGACACACTAGGTCTTTGTTTCACTCAAAAATTGTCCAAAGTGATTTTTTTCTTGACTACATATTAGAACATCTCTAAAGTGAGGCTGGTATTTTCACTGATACTGCTGTAGCTTGCTATTACTTATCAGGAAGATATTGATTATTATGATTATTATGAGTTAAATCTCATAACTATCCTCGTGAGCATCATCTCTCCTGCCACTGAGCAACTTCTTAAGTGATATGGTTCTCAGCTTAGGGCACTGATGGGCAAATTTTTTCAGTCGCGGGCCAAAAATCGAGGAAAAAAAAAATTTGGTGGGCCAAGATAAATTTTTCTAAAACTGTAAAAACAATATAGAAGTATTACAATTTAAATATGTTAATGACATGAATGAAACTGTGATTTCATTTTTGAAATTTCCTTATATTGAGGTTCGAAGTAAAATGTACTGATTTTAAGGAACAAGGCTAAATGCTCATATGCCACTCTACTTCTGAAATAATTCTTTCTAAGGTTCATAGTTGAAAACACTTATATAAGATGAAGCAAACATTATACTTATGTTCTGAGTGTGAGATATTTTTATGTGAAATATATATATTATATATGTGAAATTTAGGAAACTTACTTTCGATAATGATTTGTAAAACTCTAACTTTGCCATATTTAGAAACAACTGCTTGAGATGATTGTTAGATTGCAACTCAATTAATTCAAGCTGCGAAATTCAGGGAATGAGACAAGTTGTTCCTAGCCTGCTGCTCAGCAAATAGATTAAGTTTTAGTTTAAAAGCTTTGAGATGCATCCTGATATCGTCAATAAAATTATTTTTCTCTACCATCTTAAAATTCAAGTTGCTCATACAACAAAGAAAATCTGTAAAAAATTCAAAGTCCAAGAGCTGTTCTGTATCTTCTAACATTTCGCACTCTGCAGAACACTGTTTCTCATGAAAGAATGACACAATGTCGTCTTTCAGCTGCCAAACTCGCTCGAAAACACATCCTGCAATAAGTCACCTTACTTTCATGTAATATGCCATCCTCTTGTGAGTAAGCCCACGAAATCAAATATTATTTACAAGCTTCACGACTGCATCAAGAATGGGTTTTATATTCAACGCAGATTTACACAGAGCATCTTGATGTATAACACAGTGTAGAAAAA